GCAAGGAACTTCCAGCTGGGGCTTTTCATCTTCCTGGCCCGCGTGGAGCTCTGGGAAGGGGAAGAAGAGATCAGAACTTGGTGGAGAAGGCCTGGCTTGAGAGCTGGCCTGGGAAGGGCTAGGATCTCCTGGGACTGACCAGCTGTGGTAGAGTCCATGTCAAACCAGCTGTGGCAGTGCCCAGGTTCTACCAACTGTGGCTGAGTCCATGTGCTTTGAGCCCCTACAGAAACTTTCTACCTACAATACCCTAGGTTTTCAGTACTTTTCCTCCTGACTCTTTCTTTGTACTCCTTTAAACCACACTTCTACATTTTCAGATCTAGTTAGGTGGCTGTCCCAAGTGCCAGTATGATTTTTTCTGGTACTCACTTTTCCATTATTATAAAGAAATAGGTCAGAAAATCAACTTAGAAAGAGCACATGTTTATGTAGCTCATGTTCCTGGAATTTCTAGTGTAAAGTTGGGCAGTTCTATTGTTTTGGGCCTTTAGCAAGAGTGCAGATGAGAAGGATAAGAGTGAGTCTCAGAGTAAACCATTGACAGCCTGAGTGAGGATGCAGAGAGGAGGGAGAGACAGAGAGAGAGGGACAGAGAGAGGGAGGGAGGGAGGGAGGGAAATCTGTAACACATCCAATTTGTAGTGGAGGGAGGGAGGAAAGGAGAGAGAGAAATCTGTAACACATCCAGTTTGTAGCAGTGAGTTCGGTCATTCATTTGGGGGCTGAAAGGAAGAAGGCTATATGCATCACACACTTGAGGCAAATAATCAGAAGCTCTAGCAGAAGCAAATATTTAATCTCTTTTTTTCTAGATCTCATATAGGTTTGGATTTAGGAGAAGGGAAAAGGAGGCTTCTTATAGAATTTCTATAGAATTAGCCATTATACCTGAATGTTAGATGTACAATGCATAATCAGTCACAGCTGTAGAGCCTTAGAGAAGTTGTCTTCCTCATATGTAGGTTTCATGCAAACTGGGAAGCCTTCCTCCATCTCCCACCTCTGCCATTCTGGAAGCTGGTGCCACAGGGCAGGCTTAAATGGTTAAACACATAGGTGGCTCCTCCCTCCAGCATTCCACATTCTCTTGTTCAGATCTCAACCTTATAGCTCTCACCCAATTACAAGAGAGTAGGAGAATTTTTGTTTCTCCTGTCCTTGGACTCCCATGGCAAAAAATCCCCCAATGTGACAAATGTCTGGCTTTCTATCTGCTATTTATTTCTAAAACCCCAGAGTGAGAACCTGCTGGAAATGAAGGCAAAGCCTTGTGCTTTTGAGGAACTTGTATAGGGTTTATGCTGTGTCTCAGTGTAACCATGTTGTGAGTTCATGGACACTGTCAGTTTTCTGTGGCAGTAATAGGAAAAGATGATTGAGGGGACACCCAACCTCTTTATTAATGCAGACAAATGTGATATTCAGGGGGAATATATGCACATTGGATATATATATATATGCATATATATATATATATATACATTAAAAACAAGAGTACAAAATCAAATGTATACATTTGTTTATGTAAAAAGGAAGAATTGCACCTCCACCTTCACGAATGTTAATTTAGGAAAACTATGATAACAGATGTATTGTCTGGGGTCTAAAATTGATGTTATGTTGAGATGTTGAGACATTACATTGACAGTAACAGGATTACTAACAAACCACTAGGTAGCTCGCATAATTTACCTATATAAGCTCAATATAGAAAATGCTGCCTTTTTAGGATGATGTATATTTGGTGCTGGTTGAGGTTTGAATAAGGGCCTGCTGTTTTTTTTTGTTGTTGTTGTTGCTCTTGGGTGCTTGAACTCTGGGTCTGAGCGCTGTCCCTCAGCTCTTCAGTTTAAAGCTAGCACTCTACCACTTGAGCTACAGTGCCACTTCCAGGGCCTGTTGTTTTTAAGTTTTTCATTGCTCAAGTCTGGTGCTCCACCACTTGAGCCATAGTGCCACTTCTGGTGTTCTGTTGGTTAATAGGAAATAAGCGTCTCAGAGTGTCTTGGTCATGCTGGCTTTGAACTGCAGTCCAAAGGTATCGGCTTCCTTAGTAGCTAGGATTCCAAGCATAATCTATTGGTTCTTGGCTGGACAATATATTTTGATGAGGTCACAAATTTACCTTAAATATAGATATTGGTTTTCACTGCAATGCTGCCTTTGTCCTTGCTATCACCCAAGAAGTTAGCCTTTGGGTGGAAATTAATACTGCACAACTAAAATCTTAATTAAAGGCTCATCAGGAAGTCAAAATGCATTCCTGGGTACTCAAATGTTGCTTAAGAAAATGTTTAAAAAGCCCACCAGGTTTGTAGGTGGGATTCCATGCATGGAAATATTATTCACCAGAGTGCGTTACAGTCCTGAATGTCCTTCTGCAGTTGGGAATGCTGTGACAGATGAGATTATCCTGTCAATCTCCATAATCTCACATGCATGATGAGATACCTGTGGATGGATAGGTATTTTGGTGAATAAATATATGAATTAGAGTCAGTAGAAGGGCTTATTCATAGTTTTATATTCTGGTGTACTGGGAATGTCTGCAATGTGACCACTATGGCATTGGTGGGTGCCTGGAGCAGTCATAGGAGATGTGAGACCACAAATTCTCCAATTTACAAAAGAACCAGTGAATCTCAAGAAATGAGAAAGGATAAAGGGTGAGAAGGAGCAGAGATGAGTTTCAGGACACCTGGAATGGGGAGGGAAGGCTGGGTTGATCAGAATAAGAGACATGTAGAAGTCAGGATGGCCGAGCGGTCTAAGGCACTGCGTTCAGAATAAGAGACACGATTGAGTGTAGAGGCACAGTTATGTATAGAAACTGGGCAACCATTCAACTTCTCCTTTGTAATTTTACAGCTAGATGAAGTGACCTCTGCATGAAGTGACGTTTGCATGTCACACACCCCTTGGAAGAGGAACAGCTGAGGAAGAGAGTTACATGGGGGCAGAACTTGTGAAAAGGAGGGTGGATGGAAATGAGAGAGGAGGGAATGACTTGAGTTCAGAAGGGAGGGGAAATGAAGGATGGAGTAGGAAGGTGAGGCTGAGAAAACAGAAAGGTTTTCTTTTTTTTTTTTCTTTATTTTATTTGTGAACATACTGTACAGAGGGGTTACAATTACATGGGCAGGATAATGCATACATTTCTTATCAAGCATTGCAGCCTCCTACTTTGTTTACCCTTCACCTCCCTTCCCAGCCTCCCCCCTCCCTCCCTATGCAATCCTCCCCCCCCCCACCCCACCGACATTGTAAAGCTCGTTTTTGACATGACAATTTGTACTTCTCATTGTTGCAACAAGTCCACCTGAATCCTTAAACGACTTGTTTTTCCCCATCTCCTCCACAAGTTATACTGACATCAAATATATTGAAATCATGGGCTATACTGTGGGGAAGGGACATACAAAGCAACAAAGAAATAATGTTATAAATGCGTTAGAAATACATGCATGAAAGAAAAAAAACCTTAAAATACCTATCTAAGGGTTCATTTCCCTAACATCACATTATCTGACTTTTTCCGCTTGACTCATACATATACTAGATATTGCAAATAAGGGAAACCATGGAACCTGTGTTTCTTTGTGCCTGGCTTACTTCACTTAATATAATTTTTTCCAAGTTTTTCCACTTCCTAACAAATAGAGAAATGTCAATCTTTCTGATGGAGGCATAGAATTCCATTGTGTATATATACCACATTTTCTTGCTCCATTCATCTACTGAAGAGCATCTGGGTTGGTTCCATATCTTAGCTATGGTAAAAAATGCTGTAATAAACAAAGTTGTGCTGGTAGCTTTAGTGTGGTCTTGTTTGTAAACATTTGGGTAAATGCCCAAAAGTGGGATTGGTGGGTCATAGGGGAGCTCTATGGGAATCTTTTGAGGAACCTCCATACTGCTTTCCAAAGTGGTTGAACAAGTTTACATTCCCACCAACAATGAAGTAAGGTTCCCTTCTGTCCACATCCCCTCCAGCATCTGTTGTTGTTAGAGTTCTTGATTTTTGTCATTCTAACTGGAGTGAGGTGGTATCTCAATGTTCTAGATCCTTATATATCACCCTGCACCAGAATCAACTCCAAATGTGTCAAAGACCTCAAAGTCAAAGCAGACACTCTGAAAACATTACAGGATGGAATAGGAGAAACCCTAGGTCTCCTTGGTTCAGGCTGAAATTTTCTGAATAGGGACCCGGAAACACAACAAATCAAAGAAAGATTGGAAAAACGGGATTGCATAAAGTTGCAGAGCTTCTGCATGGCAAAGGACATAGCTAGCAAGATCAATAGAAATCCCACGGATTGGGAGATCTTTACTAGCCATACAACGGACAAGGGTCTCATATCTAAAATATACTTGGAACTCAAAAAATTAAATCCCCCAACAACAAATCCTCAAAGAAACAACTGCCCAATAAATAAGTGGGCTAAAGACTTAAAGAGAAACTTCTCTGAAGAGGAAAGAAGGATGGCCAATAGACACATGAAGAAATGCTCAACATCCCTAGCCATAAAATATAAAGGTTTTCTTATATTCAGTTGCTGTTGTAAACCATTGTTTGTTGGTGGGAGAAGGAAGACAGAAGAGAGTTGAGGCAGGGTAGCTTAGTTGCTAGCAGACATCAAAGATCAGCTTTGTTTAGAGAAGGAAACACACATCTGCTTATGCTATGCTGTTTTTAACTGCCACTGCTGGCTGCTCTCCTACCAGGAGGGAGGGTAGGGACATCTCTGTGGGCTGCTTAGTAGGGTAGATGGGAGTGGATTTGAGTGGGCTTTCCATGACGCTTTACAGTTAGTCCCAAGATGCTTATAATCTGCATCTTTTTGTCCAAGTCCAGTTGATTGTTTTTGAGCATGGTGCTAGAGAACCAAGGGCTTGGGGAGGGAAATTATTATTGATGAACTGGTTGTTATCCTTCTCTCTCTAGTAACTGGTTTGTTTTCTATCTTCTCTCTGTTTTGCTTACGTTTTCACTTATGCTACTGGACATTCATCCATCCATAGTGATCCATGAACATACCACATTTCGTCTTATCCAGGTCTCTTACTATGCCAATGAATCCTGGGCACAAACTCTGGGGTCTGCTTGGCTGGATGAATTACAGACTCATCGTTGGGACAGTGAAACAGGAACAGCAATTTTCTTGCACACATGGTCCAAGGGAAACTTCAGTAATGAGGAGTTGACAGATCTGGCGCTGCTTTTCCGTGTATATATGATTGGGTTAAGTCAAGAGATTCATACCTACTCCACATACTTGGGGCTTAGGTGTAAGTTTAACAAATTGGGGGAATTCTTCAGAGGGTTCTTGTAATTGAAACTCTTCTCTATTCCTTTGACGAAATTTCTCATCATCTCATCTCACAACAAAAGTCTACATGCCTCCATCTCTCGAGTTATATCTTGAACATTAATCAAAATTACCTAGATTTTTGCCACTTCAGCAGTCTTTTCTATTGTGCTTTGTTGTGTTTTCTTGTGATCTTCATCTGTGGCTTAAATTTGGAGGTAGAGAATTGTCTTATCCTGTGCTTGACTCTCTTAAAACATAATCCTTTCTGCTATTTCTTCAATTTCTTTGACATTTGGAGTCATTATCTAGCTCTTGTGATGCTGACTCTATGCATCATGAGATTTGGGCTCCCATCTCTCTGAAGTTCCTAGTCTGTATTATGTCAGTCTCACCTCTTATTTTCCCTGAACTTTTCAATCTCCTTTTAATTCAAATTACTTGTTCTCCCTTGTTTCTGACTGTATGTATCTTTGGCTCATTCTCCTACCTATGTAAGACTCTTCTTTCCATTCTCCATTTCCAGAGAAGGTCCTTAAATTCTAATATTGCTTTCATATTTGTTATTTGAACTCTTTATCTCATTCTTTTCTTTCTGAAGATCCTGTTGAATTACAAGTAAGACTTGGCTGTGAGCTGTCCTCTAGAGAGAGCTCCAAAGGCTTCTTACAGGCAGCTTTAGATGGATCAGATTTTCTGAGTTTCCAAAACAGAACTTGGGTGCCATCTCTGGAGGGTGGGAAACAGGCCCAGAAGGCACGTGATCTCCTCAATCAGTATGAAGTCATCAAGGAAACCGTGGAGAGCCTCATGAGCAAAACCTGTCCCAAGTTTTTCTTGGGTATCCTGGATGCAGGAAAGATGTATCTTCAGAGACAAGGTCAGTTCAGCCCTCCCGTCTAAGGTGTTTTCTTCATGACTTCCCCTTCTCACCTTCCTGTTTGAACTCAGGACATAGTGGAGGACAAGAGGGAGTGAGGTTGCAGGGTGAGAATTCCCTAAGGGAGACAAAAGACATTAGGCAGATATCTATGCACTGAAGCCATGTGTTAGGTGCACATCTGTCCTCATGTGACTCCCTCTTGTATTCTCTACAGTGAGGCCAGAGGCCTGGCTGTCAAGCTCCTCTCTCCATGGGTCTGGCAGACTAATGTTGGTTTGTGTTTGTTGAAAAATTAAACCTAACGCTCAACAAAGTATGTTGGTAGATTTTTTTCCCCCTTGTATTCCTTCCTAACACTGTGACATTTGAAACATTCATGCCTCTCTTTGAACGCTAACATAGCTGAGAAATTCTAGCATTCTAAAACTCTCTCTCCTTTTGGATGTATCTATAAGGAAATAGCACAGGTAACCTCCTTTACACATTAATTTGTCAAATTGTATTAAACTTAAAGTAGATGCATCCTGAAATTTCCCATCAACAGTATGATTGATTTTGAAATTTTTATTATGTGTATTTGTATCATATAATGTGTTGTTAGAATGCACATATACACTGTGACATGACCAGAGCAAATGATTAGATCAGAGCCCTGACATATCCATTACCTTTAATTTAGAATCCTGACAATAAAATTTGAAATCAGGAGGCTGGGAAGGTGTCTCAGTGGTGGAGTGCTTGCCTTGCATGCATGAGGCCCTGGGTTCAATTCCTCAGCACCACACAAGAAGAAAAAACCGGTAGTGGTGCTGTGGCTCAAGAGGTAGAACGCTAGCCTTGAGCTGAAGAGCTGAGGGACAGAGCCCAGGCTCAAAGTTCAGGCCCCACGACCCAACCACCCCCCCTAAAAAAATGATAAGGGTGTATGAGGCTTTCAGTTTTATTTTTCTTTCTGAGCATTATTATGGTTATTCTGGGTCTTCTGTGATTACTTCTGAATTTTAGATTTTTTCTACTCTTACTTAAAAAGGCCAGTTAGATTTTTATGAGGATATCAAATTAATCTGGAATATGTAAATTGTTTTTGTTCTAGGTAGAATATATGTGTTAACACTATCAAAATTTCCAGCCAATGATCATTGGATTTTTTTCCTATTTATTTTAACTTTCCAGATAAATGCATTGCAGTTTTGTATGTACTAGTTTTGAATATCCCTGGGTGTTTATTCCTAATTATTTTATTCTTTTTTATTTTTATTTTTTTGACCGGTCATGAGGCCTGAACCCTAGGCCTGGGCCCTGTCCCTCAGCTCTTCAGCTCAATGTTAGCGCTCTACCACTTAAATCACAGTGGCACTTCCGGCTTTTTCTGTTTATGTGGTGCTGAGGAATCTAACCCAGGGCCTCATGCACGCAAGGCAAGCGCTCTACCACTGAGCCACCTTCCCAGCTCTACTTTATTCTTTTCTATGCTCTTATAAGTAGGATTATGTCTTAATTTCCTTTTTGTAAATTTCCTTTTTGGTCAGTACTGGGCCTAGTGACTAGAGGCCTAGTCACTTTCCCTGAGCTCTTTTGCTCAAGGCTAGCGGTCTGCCATTTTGAGCCACAAGTCCACTTCCAGTTTTCTGGTGTCTAATTGTAGGTAAAGATCTCACAGTCTCCTCCTGCTCTGGCTGGCTTCAAACCATGAGCCTCAGATCTCAGCCTTCTGATTACAAGCATCAGTAACTGACACTTAGTCTTAATTACATTTTTCTTTCCTTTTCTTTTTGTGCTTGAACTCTAGGCCTGAGCTCTGTCCCTGAGCTTTTGTGCTCAAGGCTATCACTCTACCACTTGAGCCACAGGCCCATTTTCAGCTTTTCATGGTTAATTAGAGATAAGAGTCTTAGGGACCTTCCTGCCCACGTTGGCTTCCAACCATGATCCTCAGACCTCAGCCTCCTGAGTAGCTATGATTATGGGTATGAACCATCAGTGCCAGCCTTTACTTTCCCTTTTAATATGATTTGTTATTAGTCTGGACAAAGAGAACTGATTACTGTATGTTGATTTTTTTATTTTGCAGTTTTTCTGAATTTGTTTTACTCATTATAGCAGGCACATGGAACTCATTCTGTTCTTTGTTTATCAGTTATACTTCACTCAAGTTGTTGAAAGATACAACTTAACTATGCCATGAAGATTCTGAGCTAAAAATAAAGTGTATGAGTTCATGTCCAAGTTCAGGATCAGATTAGATCTTGAGTTGGGACAGAGCTGAAGTAGTTGTGTGTATATAGCAGTATTCAGTAAACACCAGTTGAGTACATGAATAGACGAATGCATGTATAAATCAGCATGCAAATTAAAAATATACTTGTTATAAAATAATAAACATGCTAAATGACATGAAAACATACTTGTCATATGGTTGACTATTATTACTTGATACATTTTTTATTTTTTTATTTTTTTGGGTCTGGTCATGGGGCCTGAACTCTAGGCCTGGGCGCTGTCCCTCAGCTCTTCAGCTCAAGGCTAGCGCTCTACCACTTGAGCCACAGCCCCACTTCTGGCTTTTTTCCTTTTGCTTATGTATACAAGGCAAGTGCTTTACCACTGAGCCACCTTCCCAGCCCTTGATACATTTTTAAAAATGTGATACAATAATGTATTTCTTTCTGTTTCCTCTGGATGGATTTTTATTTTTTGCTGCTCCTGGGGCTTGAACTCCGGGCCTGGGCACTGTCCCTGAGCCTCTTTCTGCTCAAGGCTAGCTCTGCCATTTGAGCCAGAGTGCCACTTCTGGCTTTTTCTTAGTAGTTTATTAAAGATGAGTCCCCTGGACTTTCCTGACCAGACTGGCTTCAAATGGCAAACCTCAGATCTCAACCTCCTGAGTAGCTAGGATTACAGGCATGAGCCACCAGTGCCTAGCTTGCTTGGATACCTTTTAATGATCACCAACCCATTGTTAAAATTTGTCCATTCAACAGAACCTCCAGGACTTGGAGTTAATGGAAAACATTCTGCTAAGAATGTGGAAACAAAGGTTCAAGGAGGTAAATTGACCTTTCAAAAGTAAATATGAGCTATGCTGAAGTCATTTGAAGGAATTGGGGTAGGCATAAAAAGAATTAAAGTCGAGATTAGAGTGGAAGTGAGAATGCTGTAGGCATCCCAGCACTCTGCAGGGCACATTGTATTCTCTGACATACAATTTGTATGAAGATAATTGTTGGCCAGAAGAGACAGGAAGTCGCTACAGAGCAGAAACGTTGCTGAATCAGAGACCAAACACAAGTCCTGAGAGTCTGATGTGATCTCAGGGAGATGTTGCACCTGCTGCTGTGTTGAGCTCTTCTCTTCCCAGGTGCGGAGAACAGCATGGTAAAAGTAACTCTGCAGCTCCCTGTTGCAAAGGCTCTGTACTTAGCCAGGTATGCCTGGCCACTAAGTCTCTGAGCCTTGGTGTCTTCAGCTGTCTTCCATCATTCTGGAAGTTGGGGCTGGAAGGAAGCCTGAGTCTCTCCAATAGGCTTGTCCTTATGGGTTGCACAGAGTCTGGGGTCTTCTTTTCTACATCTTTTCAGGATCCAGGTCTTCTTGCCTTCTCATATTTCTTCCTTTCTCTTCACCATGTTTCCTTTCTTCTAGAGCCTTCCCTGGATCAAACTCTTTCCGTGTCATCCAAATTTCATCTTTTGCCAACAGCACCTGGAAGCAATTATCAAGGCTCAGGCTGTCTAGGTGAACTGCAGACTCATGGGCTAGGACAGTGACTCAGGCACTGCCATATTACTAAAGGACTGGTGCAAGGGCAAGTTCGGTGAAGAGGAGACAGCTGAGCTGGTGAGCTGAACTCTTTGGGATCGGTCTTCACTCTCACTTGAGAACTTCAAGTCAGCATCACTGAGTTCAGTTGGAATGTGAATCCAGTCCTCAGACCAGGCAGGATCCAGGGACTTTTCAGTCTTTGGTTCAGGACATTCTCCTCCCCTCCTTTCTCTTCCCCTGCCCTCTCTCCCTTCCGCTCCATTCTCCTTCCCTTCCTCCAGTTTATTCAGCATGAATAAAAGCATTGGAGAAAAAGAGATCAGCTAGCAGTTAAATTATGTGCTTCCTTTTATTTATTATTTTAGTTTACTATTTATTTAATATTCATACTTCATGTTTTCTTTATTTTTAATATCATGACTTTAAGTCATGGGTCAAGATGTTGCGTGAAGGTTTTCCTTGTGTTTCTCACTTGAATGGACCCTAGTTTGCAGTGAAACAAAGATTTGAATCACTGGTCTCACTCAGGCTAATTTCTTTGGGCCCTGATCTCACTTTTTGTACAATGCAGATTGTGTTTCCCAACATAAGATTTGTTTCTGCCCTCTCAATCATGTCAAGTTCCCCAGCTGAAGTAGCAATTCCAGGTAGTGACTTTTCCAGGTTAGTCTGAGTAAAGTGTCATACCCCATTACTGTCACATTTTATTCAAAAATTTTTTTAAGTATCTATTTTGAATATTCATTTTTCAGAGCACTCTATTTTTTTTACATATTTGCTACTATTGTCATTTAAAATATGAGCCATGTAACACTCTAAATTTAATCTATCTTGCTCAAAGTTATATCCTTCTGCCTAATGATGGCCTGATTTAGTGTGCATTTAAATGTATATGTAAAAATACAAATCTGTTTGAATGAGAAAAAGACACTGAATTTTGACTCATTGAAGAGCTTTTATTGCCATCAGTCTGTCTCTGAAGGCCTTAGATCTCCAGCGTGCTGGTGTCACACTGGAGATTCAGGTGACATAGTTACAAAGTAATTTTATTCATTATGAAGAACGACATTATGCCATTTGCTGGGAAATGGACAGACCTGTAAAAATTATATTTAGTGAAGTCAGTCTGGCTCAGGGAGACGAAGTTATCTCTCATGTGGAAGTTCTATCTAAATTATATATATATATATATATATATATATATTCAGGGTCATATGCATGTACACAAACATATTAACTAAAGTATGGTATATGCAGGGGAAGATTCCAATGGTGTAACTCATTTCAACAACAAACTTGCAATTTAACAAAATGAATCCTGGAATTTTGAGCATGTTTTGTGTGTGTGTGTGTGTGTGTGTGTGCATGCACGAGTGTGTGCTCATGTGCATGCATGCACGCACATGCATGCTAGGAGCACAAGAATGGGGAGTGGAAGGGTGGGCAAATGCAGTCACAGTATTCATTGTACCTGTGTGAAAGTAGATCCAGGTTACTTGAGGGGATCGGTGGGGTTGGAAGAAATGGAGGAAATAATGAAAAGCAGGACATCGATCAAGGTACATTGGTCAAGGTATGTTGAATTGAACCCCTTTGTGTGACTACTTGCAAAGAATGAAAGAAGAAGATGCAGGTGGATCATTGGCAGTGTTCCAAGTTGGTAAAATGCCAACTCTCAGTGCGCTCCTACAGGTTATCACCATTTCACATGTGGTAAGATGTAGACACACACATGGAACACGGGAAGGAGAAAGGAGATCCCAGAGATCCCATTGGAGTATTCCGTATTGTGAGTGGCAAGGCGAGATACCAATTAATTGCTTCTCTGGGTTTCTCTTCTCTTCTGTTCTACTTTGGTGATCCCCAGGGACTCTCCTAGGGAAAGATGACTCTTATGCACTGTGACATTTTTTGGGAATGTCAAGGTGCCTGAGTAAGATAACTGATTACATACTAGTTCTCCTTCTGGAAAGATACTGGCTTTGCAGAATATCTTTCTAATATATTCCTCTTGGAAAATGGGGTAAGTTGACAACAAAAAAGCTTTTTGTAAGTGGACCAGGATAGGTGGAAATAGAATTGTGGACCTTTGAGAATATTAACTGCAGATGAAAGAAGATATGCTGCACTTAGTCTTGGGCTTCTGTTCAAATGAGGAAGAAAGCTTTAGGCACTGATTCTCCAGTGTACCCACAGAAGACACCTAGATTTTTTTGCTACTTACATTTTATCCATATTGAGTTAAAGCAGATCATTATCTTTTCTCCATTAACCACTTTGTTCCCTCTATCACTTTCTTTTATAAATGATCTTATCATTTTTATTAGTTTATCAAGATGAAACTTATTTCCAATTTTCTGATAATTTTCACTGAATAGCCAGACACTTGAGCCTCCTTTATAGTCTATCAGATTTTACATTCCCTCTTTCATAATCCTGACCCAAGAGTGAACACCATAGACAAAAACACAACATATGTTATGAATTACTTGTTATGACTGATAATATAATAATGATTGCACATTGAATGTTAGTGTGACTTAAATGCCATTACCAGTGTGAAAATGAAAAAGTACATGACAATGTTAAAGCTAATTGGATAACAAAAATAATTTGAATGAAAAAGGAAAACAAGATAAAAGAGAAAAATAATTTGAATGGCATCTCTTTAGAGCAGACATTAACACACTTTATAAGAATGCTGGCCAGTTACTATTTTTCTCTTTCTACAGATGAGAGCAGCAGTCATTTAACTAATGAGTAATGGAGACAATAATGTTCCAAAATTTCTGTTTTAAATAACAAACCACTCATTTGAAAAATAATGATTAGAAGTTTTTTGTCTTAGTCTGATTTCTACTATTTTATAAAAATACTTTAGACAATCATCTTCAAAAGGGGAAAGTTTTATTTTGGCTTATAGTTTTTGAGGCCTCAGTCTTGATCAGTTTAGTTCTGACATCTAGACCTACACACACACACACATATCTATCACCTGTGCAGAAGCTGGACATTCTATAGCAGCTGTAAAGTGAAGGAAGAAGGAGGAGGGAAAGACAGAGAAAGAAAGAGAGAAAGAGAACAGCAGACCAATATTTCCGTTTCCTTCAATGGTATGATTTTTGTCACCTATGATCTCCTTGTAGGCAGAAGCTTGTTCCTCCTCTTCCTCCTCCTCCCCTTCCTCCTTCTTCCTCTTCTTCCTCTTCTTCTACCCCTTCTTCTCCCTCTTGTTCCTCCTCCTCCTCCTCCTCCTCTTTCTCCTCCTCTCCTCCTACTTCCTCTTCTTCTTCTTTCTCCATCTTCCCCTCCTCTTCCTCCTCCTCCTCCTTCTCCTTCTGCCTCCCCTTCTCCTTCTCTTTCTCCTTCTCTCCTTTTTCTTGATCTCCCCCTTCTCCTTTTCTTTCCTTAATCCTTCTCTAGATTTCAATATGCATTTACATTTTGCTAGCTAGGTAGGTTTCATGTTAAGTACTCAACACACACACAAAGTAGGATGAGGTGAGACTTTAGGAGGTTATGGATATGTCCTTGGACTTCAGAGTGCTTATGATTTATGAGTATATCTCTATGACCAAACACTGACTTACATATATTAAACATGTAGAGCTTCTTAGATACCAATGACCCTAAATAAAGAGATTAAGAGAATTTTTTTGTTGGTCATGGGGCTTGAATACTGGGCCTGGATGCTGACCCTGAGCTGTTCAGCTCAAGGCTAAAGCTCTACCTCTTGAGCCACAGCACTATTTCTGTTTTTTTTTCAGTGGTTTATTAGAGATAAGAGTCTTATAGACTTTCCTGCCTGGGCTGGCTTTGAACCAGGATCCTCATATCTTAGTCTCCTGAGTAACTAGGATTATAGGCATGAGCCACCGGCACCAGGCGATGAAGAGAATTTTTGAAGCACAAATGCCACTGTCTCACAATGATTACAAACTGAAATGTGATTATATCTACACAGAAATTACAGTGACCCAAATCTGCTCACCTGCACTCCTGTAGACTGAACCTAGTGAATGTAGGCCTCACTTGTGGTGGAAGGCTCACACCATCGCCTCTGAGCATCAGTTACCAAACTGTACCTGCTTTGTTGCATCCATTTCCAGTGCATGTTTCCATTTGTCAGCTGTCTGCTGCCCACAGCATCCCTCACAGCAACATCCATATTGGGAAAATGTTATCTTGTCTAGAGTGCAGCCACCTGCTTTTCTTTGGATGAATGATCTTTGGATGCCTTTATAGAATTTCAGATTCTCCACATAGAGGCTTGAGATATGCATAATCTTCCCAGCTCCTTGTCACTTCAGTAGCCAGTTCCAGAAGTGGCTTTGCCTGTGTTTGGTCTCCTGAAACCTCTTGTGTGCAATAGCATCAGCTCCTGACTCTCAATGTGTCTTGGGAATCAAGAAATTATTTCCTTTCTCCTTTTGCTTCAGGCTGGGTAGATTGGCAAAACGAAATCACACAGGTCTCAAAAGATATATGTAAAGTCACCTTGAACTCAGCATGCTAAAGAACCTAAAATGTGTTTTTTCTTTTTCTTTTCTTTTCTTTTTTTTTTTTTCCAGTCCTCATCCTTGAACTCAGGGCATGGGCGACGTCCTTGAACTATCTGTGCTCGAGGCTAGCACTCTACTACTACCTTCTTTTTGTTCTTAATATATATTTTTTATTGTAAAGATACTGCACAGAGGGGTTACAGTTACATGAGCAAGTTAATGAGTCCATTTCCTATGGAGAATTGTTACCCTTTCCTTTATTTTCCCCTACCATCCCTTTCCTCCCCACCTCCCCAACTCTTCCCTTCCCTCCCTGCCCCCTGCAAAGTTGTAAACTTTGTTTTCAACATAGTGTCTGTACATCTCACTGGTACAATGGGTCATCCTGGATCCTTATTTCAGCATTTTGTTATTTCCCTTTCCCTCCCCAAATTAGAAAAAAATTTTATACAAGATGCAGGACAATGGAATCAAATACAGTGACAACAGGGGTTGTAACAAGGGGGAAGAACATACAAAGAAACAAAAGAAATCACATAGTACACTATAAGTACATTAAAACAAACAGCAACAAAGATGAAGCCTCTTGTGTCCCTATCTTGGGGTTCATTTCGCTTAGCATCAGCTTGTATGGTCATATGTACATAGCTTTTGACCTCTTCTGCTTGTCCTAGACAGATACTAGTTATTGCAAATAAGGGAAACCATGGGACCTATGTTTCTTTGAGTCTAGCTTACTTCAATTAGTGTATTTTTTCCAAGTCTTTCCATTTCCTAACAAATGGGGCTGTGTCATTCTTTCTGATGGAGGCATAGAAATCCATTTTTTATACATACCACATTTTCCTGATCCATTTATCTACTGAGGTGTATCTGGACTGGTTCCATATCTTAGCTATGTCTACCACTACTCTTTTTATATTTTTTATTGTAAAAAACTGTACAGAAGGGTTACAGTTACATGAGCAACGTAATGAGTACATTTTCTATCAAACTTTGTTACCTCCTCCTTTGTTTTTCCCCTACCATCTTTTCCCTCCCACCTCCACAACTCTACCACTGCTCTTTTTTTCTACCACTACACTTGAACTACAGTGCCTCTTCAGGCCTTTTCTGAAACATAGGTCCCATTGTTTCCCTTATTTGCAACAATTAGTATATGTCTAGGATAATCTTAGCAGGTGAGCAAAATAGCTCAATAGCTATGTACATATAGCCATGTAAGATGATGCTAAGTGAAATGAATTCCAAGACATGGACAGAAGAGGTTTTCCTTTGTTGTTGTTTTTTAATGCACCGTGTGATTTCTTGTTTCTTTTGTGTGTTGTTCCCCCTATGGTATACCCCCTGTTGTCACTGTATTTGATTTTGGTACCCTGGGTTTTGCATATATGTTTATCTGAATTAAGGAAGGGTAGGGGAACAACAGAATGGCGAGACAAAGGACAACAGGGGAACTAATGCGACAGTGACAGTCACAAGACAACATGCTGGAAATGACCTGTGTAACTTGCAGGGGGTGGTGGGAGAGAGAAAATAGGAGAAAATGACGGAAGAGGTAACAAGTTTGACAGGAAATGTACTTATTACCTTACTTATGTGACTCTAATCCCTCTGTACATCAACTTGACAATAAAGAGATACATAGAAGATGAAAAAAAAAAAAGAATCGCCTGGACTTTCCTGCACGGAGTGACTTTGAACTCCAGTCTTCAGATCTCAGCTTCCTGAGAAGCTAGGATTACAGGTGTGAATCAATGGTGCCCAACTTAAAATACATTTTCAATACCTGTCACTGCTAAAATTATTCTTTAAAACATTAGGATATTTCCGTTAGCATGCCAGTACGGTCCATATGTATGTCATAAGCGTTTATATTCTACACTTAAAGCAAAAACGTATATGTTATGGATGTGCTGGGTGTTTTGATTCCATTTTTATTAAATAATTAGGCTACTAGAATTCATGTGAAAACAACAAGGGCTCGGAAAATATGAAATAAAAGCATTAGTTTCAAAGGAAAAGATACTAGAATATTATATATGGTACTTCACTTCTGATCAGTTTTAATATACAGCTTTATCTACATCCCATTCTATTACTGTAAGTTTATTGAGATGCATGTGTCTGTGTATAGACAGGCAGAACAAAACAGGGAAAATAGGCAAAGTATTGACAAATAAAATATATATTGAGTAATACATATTAGTTCTTGTCTACATGATAATCAAAACACCCTCAAAGGATCCCATGGTCCAAGAGCTGGTGGCTCACAGCTCTAATCCTAACTATTCAGGAACCTGAAATCTGAGTATTGGGGTTTGAAGCCAGACTGAATAAGAAAGTCAGTGAGACTCTTATGTCCAATAACTGCCAGAAAACCAGAGGTTGAGCTGTGGTTAAAGTGTTAGAGTGCTAGACTTGAGCCAAAGAATTCAGGGATAGAGCCAGACCCTGAGTCTAAAACTAAAACTAACATAAATACATTTGTTTGAACAAATTTTGAGGTACTTACCAGCTTTTTAAATCATCATCCTACTTTCATTTAATTGTGGATATTTACATTTTGTATTTAAATATCTCAAGCTCACAGATATATTTATTCTTTATATTTGGCAGCTTGGTTAACAAATATAGAAAATAATGTTTTTCTGCTGTCTTTTCAGTTGGGAAGTTCTGCTTTTTCCACTGGGACCTTGGCAAATTGTCTATTTTTGATTTTTACTGTTTTATTGGAAAATTCTGGAAAGTTTAATGAAGTAGAAGAGAAGATGAGAACAGGCACCCAGGACTAAGAATATGAGATTAGGGAATCCAGACAAGGAAATAAAACAGGGAATGAAGCTGTGGACAACAGGAGGAAAAGAATCATGACATTAAGGGAGAAGACAGAACAGTGGGAGGATGGAGGATGAACTGGGTGCATAAACCAAAAACTCCTTCCAGGGTTCAGCATGTTCATGAAGCTGAGCAACTGTTGTGTATTCCCCTGTATGTATAGATATGACATCGAAGCTTAGAGAGGTCGAGAAGCTTGTATTGTGACAAGGGGAATTTCTTTGAGGTCATCTGATGAAAATGGATTCATGGAGAGAAGCTTCAGGCCAAGGAAGGAAGAGGGAAGTGAAACCTGGAGTGGAGAAGGCAGGCTGTGCAAGGACACATTTCCCTCTCTGATCTGCAAGTTATATGAAGAGAGTTTTCAAGTGGGAGAGACAGGAAGTCTGTACCGAGTCCTGAGCAGCAGCATTGCAGAATCAGACATCAAGCAGAGCCCTGAGCTCCTGAGGTCCTCTCTGGGAGATGCTGCTCCTGCCACTTGTGTTGCTAGCTGTGCTCTTCCCAGCTGGGGACAATCAGGATGGTAAGAGCAACTGGGGTAGCAGCCTGCCCTGTGGCGGAGGGTCTGGATAAAGACAGGCTGCACTTATCTGGTGAGCTTGGTCCACTAGGCTCTGAGGCCTCCTGTCTCCAGTGTCTTGACCATTCTGGAAGTTGGGGCTGAAGGCTGAGGCCCAAGGCTCTTAAAGAGACAGTGCTCATGGGTTGCACAGATTCTGAGTTTGTGTTTTCACATTTTCTCAGTGTCCATGCTTTCATCCCTCCTCCATCCCATTCCTAAGTTTCCTTTCATGTTTCTCCCCTTTATCCACAGCTTTCCAGGAGCCAATCCGTCTGCACTGCATTCAGATCTCATCATTTGCCAACAGCATGTGGGCAGAAACTCAATTTTCATGTTGGTTGGATGATTTGCAGATTCATGGCTGGGACCGTGAGTCAGCCACTCCCATATTTCTGAAGCCTTGGTCCAAGGGGAATTTCACTGATGCTGAAGTGAAAGAGCTTGTGGAGATATTCCGAGTGTACTACTTCGCCTTCATTGAGGAAGTGCAAAAACATGCCAGTGATTTCCAGTTGCAATGTGAGCACTGTTGCCTCTCCTCCTCTCTCCTCTCCTGAGTCCCCCTCTCCACCCCTGTCTGCCTGCACACCTTTCTCTAGAGAAATCTCTACATCTCTTTGAAGTACTCAGATCTGGCTGCTTTTCCTTTGGTCTCTGATGGAGGAAATCACTTTCTTTGTGACCATGGCATTGTTTTTCTTGTAAGAAACTTGTTCTGCCTTTCCTTCCCTGTGCCTGAATGCCCTAAAATGTGACTTCTTCTTACTCAATTTTGGTGACTTTATCCTTCCTGATTGGTCCTCCCTAAGTGAGTATCCTATTTCTCTCAGGATGCTGAATTTTTTTTTTGCTGATCACCGGGCTTGAACTCTGAGCCTGGGTGATGTCCCTCTGCACTTTAGCTTAAGGATAGCACTCTACAACTTGAGCCACAGCAACAGTTAGGGCTTTTTTTTTTTTACTTATGTGATGCTGAGGAATTGAATTCAGAAGCTCATGCATGCCAGGCAAGCACTCTACCACTGAGCCATCTTCCCAGCCCCAGGCTGCTGAAATTTTGACTCCAAGTCCCTGATTCTCAACCCACCTGTTCTATCTCCTCTCCTCCATCACACACCCTACTCTGGCCCATCCGTGGCATGCTTGCCCCTTCTTAATGCTCCTCTATCTGAGAGCCTCTAAGTGTTCTAATAGTTTCAGCGCATCATTTCATACTCCTGAATTATATGCTCATCAAATCTGAAATCCTGAACCCTTTCCACAGTCTTTATTTCCAGTTTGACGTTTAGTAGCTGAACTTTTATCTGTGTTCCTCCTCCTTAGATCCCTTTGAGATCCAGGGCACAGCAGGCTGTGAACTGCACTCTGGGGGAGCCATCCTAAGCTTCCTGACAGGAGCATTAGGAAAAATGGATTTCCTGTATATCAAGAATCACTCCTGTGTACCTGCACCAGAAGGTGGCAGAAGAGCTCAGAAATTCTGCACATTCATCCACCAGTACAAAGGTATCTTGGAAATCGTGGACACTCTCCTCTATAAAACCTGCCCCGGATATCTCTTGAGCCTTCTTGAAGCGGGAAAGGAGGATCTGGAGAAGCAAGGTTTGTCCTGCTCTGTTTCCCTTTTGACCACCTTCCTTAAACTTAAAGAGCATCATAAAATTAATTTATTCCAAGTAAAAATACAAAGTAATATTATGACATTGACCAGATATGAAAGGCCCTCCCAGAAACAACTCTATTGATGATGAAGAGAACACCCCTTTAAAGAAAATATGAAATAAAATGAAAAATGTGTAAGTCTGTATAATTTTTCTTTTAGCAAAACAACTTTTTTAGATTCTTTTTTTATTAATAAGTTTAATTTATCGTGAAAATACCATACAGAGGGGTTACAATTACATGGGAGGGTAATGAGTACATTTCTTATCAAGCATTGTTGCCTCCTCCTTTGTTTCCCCTTCCCATAACCTCCCCTTTTGTTTCCCCTTACCTTCCCTGCTACCCCTCCACCCGCGCCCACCCCAAAGTTGTAAAGTTTGTTTTTTGGCATAATGTCTTGTACATCTCATTGTTGTAATGGGTCCACATGTATCCCTATTTAAACCTTTTGTTTTTTCCTTCCACTCCACAAATTATCCCAACATCAAATACAGTGAAAACAGGGGTTATACCGTGGGGGAGAGACATACAAAGCAACAAAGAAATCATCTTATAAATACATTAGAAACAATAGCACGAAAGAAAAATCATTTGAGTCCTAACACCTAACATCAACTTATCTGAACTTTTCTGCTTGTCTCAGACATGTAATAGTTATTGTAAATAAGGGAAACCATGGGACCTATATTTCTTTGGGTCTGGCTTACTTCACTTAATATAATTTTTTCCAAGTCTTTCCATTTCCTAAAAAAGGTGGCAATGACATTTTGTCTGATGGAGGCATAGAATTCCATTGTGTATATATACCACATTAGCTTGATCCATTCATCTATGGAGGGGCATCTGGATTGGTTCCATATCTTAGCTATGGTAAATAATGTTGCAATAAACATAGTTTTACTGGTAGCTTTAGTATGGTCTTGTTTGTGATCATTTGGGTAAATGCCCAAAAGTGGGATTTCTGGGTCATAGGGGAGCTGTGTCTGGAGTCTTCTAAGAAACCTCCATACAAGTTTACACTCCCACCAACAATGCAGTAAGGTTCCCTTCTGTCCATATCCCCCCCAGCATCTGTTGTTATTAGAGTTCTTGATTACAGGCCATTCTAACTGAGGTGAGGTGGTATATCAGTTTTGTTTTGATTTGCATTTCTTTTATGGCTAGGGAGGTTGAGCATTTTTTCATGTGTCTATTGGCCATCCTTCTTTCTTCTTCAGAGTAGTTTCTCTTTTTTTTTTTTTTTTTTTTCTTTAAAAATTTTTTTATTGTAAAAATTCCATACAGAGGAGTTACAATTACATGAGCAAGGTAATAAGTACATTTCTTTTTTTTTTTTTTTTTAATTTAATTTTATTTTATTTGAGAACATACTGTACAGAGGGGTTACAATTACATGGGCAGGATAATGCATACATTTCTTACCAAGCATTGCATCCTCCTCCTTTGTTTACCCTTCACCTCCCTTCCCAGCCTCCCCCCTCCCTCCCACCCAATCATACCCCCCCCTCCCCCCCCCCCCACCGACATTGTAAAGCTGGTTTTGACATGACATTTTGTACTTCTCATTGTTGCAACAGGTCCACCTGAATCCTTAAACGACTTGTTTGTCCCCGTCTCCTCCACATGTTATACTGACATCAAATATAGTGAAAGCAGGGGTTACACTGTGGGGGAGGGACATACAAAGCAACAAAGAAATAATCTTATAAATGCATTAGAAACACATGCATGAAAGAAACAAAAACATTAAAATACATATTTGAGGTTTTGTTTTCCTAACATCACATTATCTGACTTTTTCCGCTTGACTCATACCTATACTAGATATTGCAAATAAGGGAAACCATGGGACCTATGTTTCTTTGGGCCTGGCTTACTTCACTTAATATAATTTTTTCCAAGCCTTTCCATTTCCTAACAAATGGGGAAATGTCATTCTTTCTGATGGAGGCATAGAATTCCATTGTGTATATATACCACATCTTCTTGATCCATTCATCTACTGAGGGGCATCTGGGTTGGTTCCATGTCTTAGCTATGGTAAATAATGCTGCAATAAACATAGTTGTGCTGGTAGCTTTAGTGTGGCCTTGTTTGTGATCATTTGGGTAAATGCCCAAAAGTGGGATTGCTGGGTCGTTGGGGAGCTCTATGTGGAGTCTTTTGAGGAACCTCCATACTGCTTTCCAAAGTGGTTGAACAAGTTTACATTCCCACCAACAATGAAGTAAGGTTCCTTTCTGTCCACATCCCCTCCAGCATCTGTTGTTGTTAGAGTTCTTGATTTTTGCTGTTCTAACTGGAGTGAGGTGATATCTCAATGTTGTTTTGATTTGCATTTCTTTTATGGCTAGGGATGTTGAACATTTCTTCATGTGTCTATTGGCCATCCTTCTTTCTTCTTCAGAGAAGCTTCTCTTTAAGTCTTTCGCCCACTTACTTATTGGGCAGTTGTTTCTTTGAGGATTTGTTGTTGGGTGGTTTAATTTTTTGAGTTCCAAGTATATTTTAGATATGAGACCCTTGTCCGTTGTATGGCTAGTAAAGATCTTCTCCCAGTCCGTGGGCTTTCTATTGATCTTGCTAGCTATGTCATTTGCCCTGCAGAAGCTCTGCAACCTTATACAATCCCATTTGTCCAGCCTTTCTTTGATTTGTTGTGTTTCCGGGTCTCTATTCAGAAAATTTCGGCCTGAGCCAAGGAGACCCAGGGTTTCTCCTATTCCATCC